CTAAAAATTTAAGGTAAAAACCACGGGCAACGGTAGAAGAATTTCACTATGAGAAAATAGGAATTACAATCTCTCTCGATCTACCAAGGAGAAAACAATGATAATTCTCTCTAGATAAAAAGGAGAAAACAACTCTCAAGAAACTCTCTAAAATCTCTCTAGTATTGGAAGAAATCTATAATGCTTTGGGATGATTTTGAAGCTATATAAGCTAGGGTATTTATAGTTGAAACTTAAGGACTAATCTTATAAATATCCTAAATTACAATGACTAAAATTAATTATCCCATTACCCAATTTCAACAAAAATTAGGTGCCTAATTTTTGACTTTGACAAAGCACCATTTGGTGCCTAAATTATTTGACTTTTGACAACTTCCTCTTCAGCTCTTTTCAAACATTTTGGATTTTTCATCAGGAAGCTCAGAACCCATATCACAGCGGTTGTTGATGTATCTGTTCCAGCGATGAACACATCCTATACCAGAAATAAAGAAAAAAACAAGGTTATATATACAAAGCTATATAGGGAATGGGATGGAGGGGTTCTTGCCCTCCCAAATTTTTTAATTTAATAGCAATTTAAGTTCTTATCAGTTTGACTTTAACTAAAATTAGACTCTTGTCCTCCAAATTTTTAGATTGAATACATGACAAGTCCTTACTATTTTGAAATTAAATACTTTGTCCCTTCTAATATTTGATCTTTGCTCCATCCCTAGTGCGTAATGTGTGTAAAGTAAATGAGTGGTGTTGTGTTGTGTCCTGACCTAATGACATGTTTGGAAAGAGTTTGGGTCTGAGAGTTGTCTGTAATGATTTAAACTCACATAAGCCTTTCATTCCCCTTTAAGGAAAACCCATCATACCATTCCTCAACCCCTGACATTGTCGGGAACATGCAAACTATCAGATTTCGGGGGGGGAAAGCATCCAATAGCTCACAAACCCTACTTACATTCAACATCAACCCTACTCACATAAGATCTCAATGCTTTAACAAATGAATAAACATGAATTAATTCAATCGATTAAGTACTCATTGGCATCGGTCTTCAACGAGATCAATAACATACTTGACATTCGAAATCATAGATTAATCATAACGTATCGAAAATTTTCCGATTTAAATTTCATATTTAGTCCTCCAAGCTTCTTTCTCAACTAAAATATCTCCCTATCCGTGCACCCGAATTCAAACTCGATTAGCTCCATATTTCTATCCAGTGTCCCTAATCATGCATACTGATCGATTCTTTCATGGTTCAGGTCAACGCTCGAATATCGAATCTAAAATCCGGGTCGTTACGGATTCAGAAGGCCCAATTTAATGGGTTGTCACATTGCTGCATACACTCATGTGGTGTTGGAACTTGGTTCCAACAATAATAATACCTGCAATGGTGACTGCAAATAATGCAGAGTATAAGTGAATGTATGGAAAATGACTTGTTAAAAAGTTGCAGCAAGTCAAATTTGCCCCATCTTCCCTCTTTACAGCTCCTTTTTCTTTAGGTTGTCAATAATGTCACATTTTGTCCACCATCGATCCAAACAAATCAATAAAAAAGGAAAAGTGCCATGCTTTTCCTTTTAACAACATGATCCAGTCGTGGTTCCAATCATGCAACTTCAGGTTTTGGCAAATGCCAGTTCTTTCATCCACTATTCATTGGCATTTCGGTAAGTACGTTCGCTTCTCGTCGGTTTCCGTAGATGTCAAAATCCGGGTTTTATTAGTAAATTTGTTTAGTGTTGTGTAAGTATTTTCTTTTGAATCGAGTTGGGAGTTGTGTGAAGGATCTTCTTGACTAAATCCGGAATTAAGTTGTGTATAAGATCTTTAAAAACGAAAAAAGAAGTTTTTGGAATGTCTATTTTTTCATTCAAAAAACTCGATCGACACTGACGGTGTCGGTCACGCAATATAATTTGTTAGATCGAGAAAAAGATTCAATGTTTTGTCAATCATCAAACATGTGTGTGTATATATATATATGTGTGTGTAATATTTGCATTGATAATATTGATACAAGTAAAAAATTTCATGAAAAATAGTATTATCGATCAATTTTATATTTAAATGTAATTATAATACTATATTCGTTTATTAAAATATTATATATACGAAGTTATAAATTGATCATAAATTTTTTTATTATATTTTCTTTAGATGTAAGTACTAAGTAGGTCAAGTACTTCAAAAGATGACATCTTGAACTGTTTACTTTTTTTGTTCTAAAATTTGATTAATTCAACTGCTTTTGTTGTTAAGTACACTGTTAACCTAACAGGTGAAGCATCACACCAAGTGATAAAAATAAAATAAAAGATGACACTTGTGTTCATACAACATTAAAATAAACAACATATTTTGAACCTAGTCTCGGAATAAGGAAAAGAGTGTCGGATACCAAAACTCGAACGCCTTTCAAAGGTGACTGAATTAATCGATCGGATTAAACCCTAGGTTCAAACAAAGATGCTTGAAGATGATCCAGTTGAGTTCAAGTATGAGTGCCGATGAACATGCGAAATCGAAAAGCATATATCGACCGAATTAGGCCTAAGAGTACCCCAATCTAAGTTCCAAGTCCAAATCTTCCTTTGAATCACTAACCAGACCAGTCTCCAAGGTTACATACTGATGGTGATCAGTCTTCTTCTCCATCAACTTGCCATAATCTTTGATTTCTTTGACCCCGAAAGCCGGTTTCTAAGCCATGGCCAAAGGGTCGATGAGGGTACCGTTGACGCGCCAGTTCGGCGAGGAAAATGAAGGAAGGGGAGGAAATGTGGAAGAAGAAGAAGAAGAAGAAGATAAATTAGGGTTAGGGTTAGGGTTAGGGTTAGGATTAAGGTTCAAAAAGGGGGGATGAACATGACAGTCACTTGGAGGTGATGTTCTTAACCTGGCTCTATCTCTCCTATGGACATTCATGTGACCACCCAGAGCTTGAGCCGATCTAAATTCTCTTTTGCAGAAGCTGCAAGTGTAAGATCTCGGCGGCCATAAAAACCCGGCGAGGAAATCGTCTCCGAGACCCGGATCATTACAGCTCCACGGCGATGAATCCTTAACCTTGTACCCTGTCTGGTTCTTCTTCTTCCCGTTGTTGTCGTCATTGCAGCCATTACTATGGTCTTTCAAGCTGTTACCAAAACTGTTCCTCTCCATGGATCTTCCTCTCTTTTTCTCGAGTAAGACCTAGTAAACATCAAACCGACGACGACAACAACAACAAAAACAACAATCTAACCTCATATACCATGTCATGTTTTTCTTTAATGAAAGAAAATCAAAAGAAATCAATGAACTGATACCTGAGAGAGATAGAGAGATTGGGGTTTCAGAAAAAGAGTGGATTTAGAGATTTGGAAAGAAAGAGGGCATAAAAAAGAAGCTCTTTGCTACTAATAGTAATTTTTTTTTGAATAAATTTTAGGAGATGAGATCAGTGTGTGGATGTTAATTTGAATAGGTTATTACTCCATGTATGTGAGATGGAACATGGGCAGGTGCTATTGGTCATCAACATCATACGTACAGACAGGGTCAGAGGCTCTTTGTTTTTGTTTTGTTTTGGTTTGGTTTGGTTTGGATTGCAATACGGAGCTTTCTGGGGTTGATAGTCCCATCACAAAGGATAAATAAGAATTTAATCATTTCAAACTATTGATTACACTTTGACTTGGGATATAATTACACAAAATATGTATGATTGTATTCATGGATGCACCGAGGGTGAGTGGGGTAGGGATGGGTATAGATTGAGTTTTCGATTAATTTGATTTTATCTAAAAAAAATTATATTTTTTACTCAAAATTTATAGATTGATTTTTAAGTTTAAGTCGAGTCGAGGGACTAAAAAATTTATATATATGAAAAAAATATGAATAAATATATATGTATTGTATATGATTATAAAAAATTATTTAAATTGAAATAAAATAATATCATAATATTATAAATATTTACAGTTAAACTTATACAGAAACTCAAAATTTCGACTCAAATTTTATAAACTCGAATCGAAAAAATTTCAAGTCAACTTCGAGTTGTAAAATAGGATTCATCAACTCAAATAACTCGAAATTTTTTGACTTGGCCAGACTCGACCGACGCTCACCCAAATCAGACTTCGAGTTGTAAAGAATGATAATCTAATACCAACAACATGTTGGTCTAGCGAATGAGACACTAGATCTCTTAAGCAAGGTAAGTGGTTCAAGTCTTGGCAATTGCGAATGAAGCAAACTGGGTCAAGAGGATCTCCCTCGTCTCTGCAATACCCGATCTGAATTAGTCGACCATTTAGGTCATTATAAATTTAATTATTAGACAAATTAGACATTGTTTTCTAAATTGTAAGTTTAAATACCAAATAAGTTATTGTATTTTTCTTAAAAAGTTTAATATTTCGGCCCATGTCTATATCTAATATTGGCTCCGTCTCTGCACCCAAGTCTCAATTATATAAAAGATAAAAAGTCAAATCAATATAAATTTTAATTTGAACTGAAGTATATAGACATAAATTCATCTGTACATACGTACACTCACACTCCTACCATCAATAATACTCGAACCTTGATCATTAAAGAATAACATTAACTCATTTACTACGGAAGCGACTCGGTTCGTGCATCCGTAGATAAATGTATGTATAATAAAACACAGCTTAAAACACTAAAAGTCAGATAACTTAACCAAAGAATCTAGGTACCAATTAAACCAGGATCTCTCGTTGCGTATAATAATTGTACGTGTAAGTTGAAAATCGAATAACACTTCATGCACACGTTCGTTTCAACTTTAAGACAGTTTAATAAAGAAGACGAGAATAAATTCCCAGGCCCCTAAAAGTCACCCATTTTAGTTTTTCGTATTCGATTTGACTGAAAATAAAAAATTGTCAGAAACATTTACGAATTTGAGAAGAAGAAAAAGTGTTCTTTTTTGGTGTATATAATTTTGATGACGAATTAAGCTGGAGAAGTGTGCAAGGTGATGGTTCGAGATGACGACGCACGTGGTTCCGGCGGGAAATCAGGCGGCGGTGACCGTTAAGAAGAAGGCGCAGCCGTCGTGGAGTTGGGTTCTTTTGGACAGCAATGGAGGAACCACCGTGCTCGACGTCGACAAGTACGCTATCATGCAACGAGTTAACGTCCACGCCCGTGATTTACGCATACTCGACCCACTCTTGTCTTACCCTTCGACCATTCTCGGCCGTGGTGGAGCCATCGTGTTGAATCTAGAGGTCCCAAATTTGTAAACATTCTTTACTGTCTTTTTTTTCTGATTTTTTTATTTTGAATTGCAGCATATCAAGGCAATTATTACTTCAGAGGAGGTCAGTGGGTTCTTCTCTCTTTTGTTGATTCAATCGGGTTTCGAGTTTTTATAAAAGAAAGCGCTAACCAATGTGTAACGGGACTAAGAGTGGTTTGGATTCAGATTTTGTACTGTGGACTGCTTTTCAGATGGTGATTTATATTTGTATTGTATTGAATAGGTGTTGCTCCGAGACCCGTCGGATGAATACGTCGTCCCTGTTGTTCATGAACTTCGGAGACGTCTGCTGCCTCTAGTGAATGCCATTGATCGAGGACAGGAAACGAGTGCACGAATCAACTTCGACGCAGGCGTTGAAGATGGTATGTTGTATCGGTCCGGAACATCATATATAATGTTCTGATTTCGTCGTTTCTTTGGAATCTGAATCCTTTGAGCCTTGCCGTGTAGTGTTTCCGTTCGAATTCCAGGCGCTGGAGGTAGCTTTGGAATCCATATGTAGCTTTCTGGCTGCACGTACACTAGAACTAGAGACTGCAGCTTACCCTGCTTTAGATGAGCTTACCTCCCTGGTAAATGCTACTTCACATATGCTTTTCACTTTTACGAAATTCGATGGATTTCATCGTCTTCCAGTCGTTCGTCTTGGCCTGTTCGTACTTTATTTTCGGTTGTAATCTGTACTCTATGCAGATTAGCAGTCGTAATTTAGATCGAGTTCGTCAAATGAAGAGTGCAATGACCAGATTGACTGCTCGGGTACAAAAGGTACTAATACATGTCTATGTGAAACATTTTCTATCATTCGCAGCATTTGTGTAATCATTGCCATTTGTTGAAGGTGAGGGATGAACTTGAACAACTACTGGACGACGACGACGACATGTCCGACCTTTATCTGTCGAGAAAGTTGTCTGCAACTTCACCCGTTAGTGGATCCGGTGCTGCCAATCGGTATTCCGTCTCTCCTACCATAGGATCAATGATCTCCAAAGCAAGTACAGCAACACTTTGGGGCGATGAGAACGATGTCGAGGAGCTCGAAATGTTACTCGAGGTTAAAATAGTGATTTACTTACTCTTGTTTAACAATTCCTTCACCCCTAAGCTAAGTCTGTATTGCTCTGTCTTACAGGTTTACTTTATGGAAATCGATGGTACACTGAATAAATTAACCACGGTACTCATCCTCTTCTCCTATCTAATAGTCATGTTCTGAAATCTGCATTTCTAAGTTTCACTGCTTGATTCGGAATTATGTAGCTGCAGGAATATATCGACGATACAGAGGATTACATCAACATTCAGGTATCGATCATAAGCTTAAAAACTCGAAATTACGATTTTTGTTGTTGCTTGTTGCTTAACCTTCCTTCTTCGCAGCTCGACAATCACCGGAATCAGCTTATCCAGGTGTTCTATTCTTCATTCTCTAACACATTAGAATGTTATCGAATGAGTTTCTTAAAAGATTTCTCCTTTTGCAGTTAGAGCTCTTTCTAAGTTCTGGAACCGTGGCTCTAGCCATCTATTCTTTGGTGACTGCAATATTTGGGATGAACATTCCTTATTCATGGAATACCGACCGTGATTACATGTTTCCATGGGTAAGCAAAGTGTTTTCACATCAGTTAAACTAGACGACATTGATTCGGTTCCCATGTCCGGTGATTGATCATTCTGTCGTCCCGTTTTTTTTCATTGACAGGTGGTCGTTGTCTCGGGGCTAATATCCGCGGTTGTGTTCATACTGATCATGTCCTGTGCTCGGTTCAAGGGTCTGCTTGGATCTTGAGCTGCAAATGTTGCATGAAACAAAAGTGTATTCTATCCTTTTTACTTTCAATTGTAAAAGAGAAAGTGTACCTCAGAAAATTTATAGGTATGTGTTTGTTTTAAGAAGAAAGTGTTGTATTCTATCCTAAATAAGATTTTGAAATAATTAACTTTAATGGAAAAAACTTGTTCACGGAAGAGATTCTTTGTTCAATAAAAACAATGTAGAAAAACCTACCATAAACATCAAAATCCACTAAAAATAGCACATGTTACCAATGTAAAAAACTTCTCATCGCCGGCCATTTCTCTGCCCGGCTCCGACTAACAACGCCTTCACGATTACGCCCGAGCGGAGTCTGAAAGCCAGCGCCACTGTTCCAGCTACAGAGATCAACTTCCAGTTAAGGCCATTACCGTTCCTCCTCCCAATAACCGTGGTTTGATCATTTTCATCTTTCCTTGAAACAGGACCAGGAGAGCTCATTTTCATCTTCCCTTGAAACAGGACCAGGAGAGCTTATTTTCACATCACAATAATTTTTTGTGCCTGTTCTTGCCATCAGTGCACATCTAGACAATGAAGCATCGGTTTTTCCAGCATTCTGGTATGCTCTCATTCCAGAGTGCAATTTCTTCACAGCTCCCCACATACCGTGACGAACACCCAATTTGGCTACGTCTTTTGGGATCCCCATGTCTTCATAATGTACGAGAGTAACTTCACATGCGGACTGCTGTTCATCGCCTTTCAAGATTCCACTGCACATCACAGGATAGTTTAAAGAAAAGGTGTTATCACTTGCAACGTCCAGAATACGATTTCTTGAATCATAAGGTGCAGAGACAGAGACCCACCAGGCCTGATAATCCAACTTGAAAAGTAAAGCTCGACTCATCTTGGCTTGTCACGCTTCAGCAAACAAGGATAAGGTACCCCCTGGAACATCATAGATTGAATGTTGTCACGATTCGGCAAACCAGGATATGGTACCAAAATCATATGGTAAAACCAATAGGTCCTGACATCAACTTCATCAGGAGTGTAGTTCATAAAAAAGTTAAACAGATCCAACTAAAGAAAAGAACATTATAGTCTGTGCCTTGTACCTTTGTCACACAATAGAAAGTCTTTCCAGCCTCCCATATTCTTCGACCAATTACGTAATCTCGATCACTGCAGAAAAACGGGAACTACAAGATGAGACAAGTTAAAATATGTTAGTCCATGTATAGTATTGGATAAGAAATGTGCTTAAAAACAAAATTATACGAACCATTCAGATCATTTACCTTTCTTATCCAGTGAACAATCATTGACCCTGAACGAGGGCACTCGTCCAATATTTTGAAGTATGAGAGCATAGTGTCCCACTTCGGTCGAAAATCGTCATCCCAGAACTAACCATTTCTGGAGTTGCATCCTCAAAGACAGTTCTACTACGGTAAACTGCATGGCCACTATAGTAAACAAAATCACCATTAGGAAGTAAAACAGAATTCCATCCAACATAAACGAAAACACAAAGAAACAGCAAGTATCATGTAAGCTATCAGGTATATTGCATCTTTGGATTTCATGACGTGAAATTTTGACGAACAACAATAGCTTGCATTCAACCATAGTTGAAATGCTACTTGACTAACAAATGTGATGCTCATAAGCTCTTAGAGCGATGCGGTACAAATAACGAAATACCGGCGAGCACTAATTCCCAACTCTCTTTCTATCTTAAAAAGAGAATAAATCAGAAACCACCTCAGGCTCATGGCGCCAAGCTTGGTATGACATATTTGTAGTAGTTCTTTCCATCATCCTTTGCCATTCCATCTCCCCATCCTTCCCCTCCAGTAAATGCAAGAGGAGTGCTAAGTTCTGCGTGACAATAGCCTGCTCTGTTTCTTCAGCTTTACCACCATGGCTATAAAGAAATAGGTATTAGTCATGAAGAAACTCATGCATGAAACATTGTTAACCATTCCAATGGTAACATAAGGAGATTTTAATTACTGCAGAAATTAACAAGCGAAAGCGATGCTAATAATAAAAGCTAATCATAATCATTGGCGTAACCATCTCTTAAAACTAGCTTCATCGTTTTTAAGTTTAATTATGAAGTCTAATTGATGTTTAGCTTGATACAAATCACACGGAATTAAAGACACAAAACAACCATCGAATACTCAGACTCATCCAATGAAAAATGGTTCTGTTTTCAATCACATTGAAAAATAAATAAATAAATACTGACCTATCAGCTTCAGCAGCGCCTTCCGGCGAAATCCGCAGTGTAGGAGGCGGCGGCGATGGCGATGGCAATGGAACGGCGGAATCCGAAGCGGAAGCTGCCGAATTTTTGGATCTCCCTTTCATAACGTTAGAGAAAATCCTCCGAAAGACGGAGAAGGCGGAGAGAGCGATGAAGGCGAACCAGAGTCGGCGAGCTCCGAACCCGGGAGGAGCTGTCCAGAAGAACCGGAACTTCGATCGTAGGCCGAAGAAAACCAAGCCGGTCCACCTCGGACGCCAAGACCAGCCCATGACGAGCCCGACCATTACCGCGAGCCATATAGGCACGGCGCATAACAAAATGTCGACGAATGTATCGGCTACCGATTGTTTCTTTAAAAACTCCATTGAATCGAAGAATGTCTCATCCATTTTTTACATAAAAAATAATTGCAAACAATTTTTATATAGATATATATAATTTGGCAAAAAGATAGTGGCCCCTGTACTTTTGAATGAAGACCAATGTAGTCCTTATATTATTTTTTTCTCTCAATATAACCCTTTAACTCAAAAAATAAACCTAATGTGACATTCGACCAATGTTTTTCTTCGTTGACTATTATTATACTGATGTGTCAGTACAATATGTTGACGTGGTAGTTCATCTGCATGTCTGAGTTACCAATTAATATGTCATTTGCCATATTAATCTGTCACCCTAGACTATTATGTCAGTACCGTAGAATAACACATCAACACCGTAATGATCAAGAACGAGAAAAAATTGGTCAAAGGGCCACATGATGTTTATTTTTTTAGTTAGAGGGTCATGTTGAAATAAAAATAATAATACAAGGGCCAAATTGGTTTTCGTTAAAAGTATAGGGACCTCTAATGCATTTTCTCCATATAATTTTAATTTTCTTTTTGTGAGGGTTTGGCGGTTGATTGAGCCAACGGGTAGCGATGACGTGGCGGAAGGAAGGCAGTTGATAGTTCGTTTAACGCGAGTGTTGGCGCGTTGTTGGAGGTGGTGAGAGGATGCGGTTAAAATATTTTTCATTTACCGATTTGGTATCGAGTCTTAAAATAGGATAAATTACGCATTTATTATCTAAATTATTTATTTTAATTCATTTTAATGTTTAAACTTTCAAATTTTTTAAAATCATATCCATTTTAATATCTGAAGTTTAAACAAAACGAGTCTTCGGCACCGTGGGAATTTTTCAGGATAAAGGAATCCAAACATTTCAGAGGTCACTACCCAATGGAAAGGTCAGACAGGTCTTCTTTTTCGATCCAGACGGTGAGTTAAATAGCTCAAAACAACACTATAATTAGTATTTAGAATTCGGGTTGGTGTTCGTATCTGAGAATTCGATTTGCAGGTAATGGATTGGAGGTTGCTAGTAGGGAAGCTCCATAGAAAACTTGAAGCTTGTATCTTGAACAAATATATCCTCAGCTACACAATAATTTGCTCCTAAATCTCTACTTGCTTTATGTTGTAAGTGTTGTAATACCTATGAAGTATATATATTTATTTGCGGGTGTAATATAATGTCTTCGTAGTAATAATTTAGTTTATGGATTCGAACCCCTTAACTTTGTTTAAGGATTTAGCGTCTCATTTTGTTAGATCAACTGGTGATTGATATATATTGGATAAATCGAATATCTATTTCGTTAGACCAATCGATGATTGATATATATTGGATAAATCGAATATCTATAACGAGTATATGAAAGATTTAAGTAGAGAAGATGTTCAAATTTTTCGAAAAATTCAGGCAACTCGATGGTGTTATATCCCCACAAAGAAAGCACTCTTAAATCGACAATGATTCGGCCAAGACAACATTTGTCAAATCTAATTGTAATAATGTTGTCAATTTGATACTGATAATATTGTAAAAGAAGAGTACCAAATTGTAACAAATTAAAATATGGGATTAAATCCTAAATGTAAGTATAATATATGGACTTAAATCATAAATTGACAATATCTATAAATTGGCGTCTCCGCTCAAAACCCTCAAAGCCCTTTCGTCGACCGGGTGGTTCAGTTTTTACTGTTACAGCTACCGCAGCCTAAGCTAAAACTGAAGCGAACTGAGCAATGGGAAAGAAGAATAAGAAAAGAGAAGCCGAAACAAACAGTCCAGCTGAAACCCTAACGAATCTCAGTCCTGTCACCGCCGCGGCCACCGCCACCGCCGATTCTCGCAATAAAAAGAAGAAGCATAAAACGAAAGCAGAGAAAGTAACAGACGGTGAAACCAAAAAAGCTGACGAAATCCCCACCGTCACCGTAGCCATCGCTGGCTCTATCGTCGACAACGCTCAATCTCTCGAGCTAGCCACTCGTGTAATTAATCCACTCTGTTTTCTCTTCTTTTGGTAAGAAATAAATTTTCGATATTTCATTTGTTTTTTTCCTTTTTCTTTAAAGTTGGCAGGTCAAATTGCTCGTGCTGCAACGATTTTTCGGATTGATGAGGTCTTTTTTTATAACCTAATTTCCTATTTATTTGAACCTACATTTTAGTTGTTAATGATTTAATCAGAATCAGTAATCAGTTGTTTGTATAAGCAGGTAGTGGTGTTTGATAATAAGAGTAGCTCGAGGAATAATGGTGCCTTTTCGAATCAAAATAATTCGAATGAAAATGATAGAGGAGCGTCTTTTCTTGTTAGGATCTTGCAGTATCTTGAGACGCCGCAATATCTAAGAAAAGCCCTTTTCCCTAAGCATAATACCCTCAGATATGTGGTGAATATCAAATTCGCGGTTTTGATGAATTTCTTTGTTGTTGTTTTGATTTTTAATGGAATGGGATTTAAAGTTGATGTCCACACTTGTGTGCATATTGCAGGGAATGCTGCCTCCGCTTGATGCACCGCATCATTTGCGTAAGCATGAGTGGGCACCCTATCGGGAAGGTAAAGTTTGGCCATGATTCTTTTGATCATCCCTTCATTTGGATAGGTTTAGCTAATTGGCTTACATTACCAAATAAATTTAGCTCCTCTATGATCTTGTTTGTTTTATATTTCTTACTAGGTTTACAATTGTTAAAAGTGAAATTGTAGTACAGGTAGATATGGACTGATAAGTATGCTTTTTTAAATGTGAGGAATTCAGATGTAATTTCTATGGGAAATTGATGGAAACTGATGTTACTGACTTTTGTAAAGCAATGATAAGGTTATTTTAGGTTCCAGATTGTAAATAACTTCAGCCTGGTTTCTATGGGAATCATAGTAATATGTTGCCTCCTTGAAGAAGTGCTTGATCTGATCAATGAATAGGTTGAACTGAATCTTTGTCTAACTACTTCATTTGTTGTGATAACTTTATAGGTGTGACGCTTGATGAAAAACCTACAAGCGCTGTGGGAACAATGGTTGATGTAGGTTTAGATAAGGTACGTACATTCCTGTTCGAGTGTGTCTTACTTAATCATGCTGCCTGAATAATTTATTTTTAATAATCAAGCGCCAAATTTAACCCAAATAGACCCCATGCCCATGCAAAGGGAGTGTGAGGGAGAGAGTCTACTCTACTCAACTTTTAATAAAACAAAATGAAGAAGTACTTAATTTATTTGCTCATATAATGCTCCTTAATGGTTAGAACTATCCTGGAAATCTTCTTGTTCGCCCCTTGAAGTTGTTGATAGCTGATGGTTTTTGTCTTTTTTCTTTCATTTGTACTTTTGGCTAAAGGTTCCTTAAACTCTATGCTTCTTTGGCCCATTCTGTTGATGAACATAGTTCTTAGTTGGCAATTTCATTCTATTCAATCATTGGCATTACCATAAATATTTTATATCAACCACTACACAAATTTTCATATAAAAGTTGGCAATGGAAACACATCATATTTGCTTCTGAATTTTCTTTATACAAATTTGTAATTTTTTTGTCTATTTTATATTCAGAAAGCTCAAGTATGATTTTACATAAAATTTATCATGTTATTGTTTACCTCTCGTTTGGATTAAACTTGTAATACTTGTGAATTTTTTTGGATTATTTTATGGTTCTTTATGCAGAATGTTGTGGTTGTTCAAGCACTTGAGCCTGGAATTAGAGTCACAGTTGCGATGGGAACTAACCAAAACTTGGATTATGGTAATGAGAATTCTGATGTTATTTCATGTTCCATTTTCATGTATCATGTAATAGGTATTGAGTGTGAAAATTTAAACCTAACTTGATGTACATGTTTATTTATTTCTTTGTCCTGCTCCTACCTGTTACTGGATAATGCAAATTTAACATGCCTTTGCTGCATCCAAAACGGAATGACTTCTTTTAATTTTGTATTTTGGGTTAGTGAATGTTCAATAACGAAATAATGTTTTCTTCCTGGATGAACAGTTTCTCTGGCTAGAAAAAAAAATCATTTATTTGGACTTAAGATGGTGCAGCATGTTCTAAATTCGTTTACAGTCATAAGTAGAAGAATTGATATAGACGAAATTATGTGTTAAGCTTATAAAGTTGTTTTTCTAGATTTACCTCTCCAGGTTGTCTCCTCTTCCAAGCCTAGGGAAGACACAGGTATGTATTGGGGGTATAAAGTGCGGTATGCTTCAAATATCAGTTCGGTATTCTCTGATTGCCCATACAAGGTATTCATACTTTTTTATAATATGGTTTAAACTCACTTCCTTTTCCCAATTTCCTTTTCTTTTTGTACAACCACTAACAGCAGGATAGCGTCTAAAATGTTGTCTCAGGGTGGATATGATCACTTGATTGGTACATCTGAGCATGGACTAGTTGTTAATTCATCACAGCTTAATTTACCTAACTTTAGGTATACTTTTTTTTCATATTAAATCCTTTATGTGTGATGAGCATACTCTACCAAAATATGTGCTCCACTTGAAATCCTTGCATTGGCATGTGATGAGCTATCCTCTCTGTTGTATCTATTCATGGCTCATCCTGCCCCATATGTACAGAACAATGTATCATACCATGTAACGACGAGTCTACTTTAATTATTATTGTGGTTGAAATGAACTTAAAGTGGTTCCTTTGATATTCATCCGTTTAATGAAGGTAATTTTCCTTTTTGGTGATTAGTCTGATAAATAACAAGCAATCAGTAACATTGAAGGGCCATACGTTTTTCCTGGCCCCTTGCATTGCTTGTTCTGTTGTGGTATCCATGAAATCTTACTACTTTCTTTGAGCTTTATTTATACAAAATCTTCCCGAGAATGCTCTCATATGGAAATGTATAATATTCCTCTTGTCCTTGAGTGATTTCATTCCATGATACATCTTGATTGTATTATATAATATGACAGGCATTTATTAATTGCTTTTGGTGGACTTGCTGGGTTGGAGAAGTGTGTAGATGAAGATTATAAGTTGAAGGTATAATTGGACGGCAGTTAGTCTCGATTGTCTTTGCAATATACGGTACCGTGTCATATTCTCCATATACAAGCAAGTGCCCTTAAATAAACGTTCACACTTGAGTCAATTTATGGCTATTCTTTTGCGGTTAAAATTTTAGATCATCGTCCGTGGCATTTAGAACTTTTTGGTTCAAAACAAGGTGAATTATGCAGTATATTGACTGAGCAAGTTTTTCTTCGGTTCAGGAAAAAAATGTCCGTGACATATTTGACCTGTATTTGAACACATGTCCACATCAAGGAAGTAGAACAATTCGAACGGAGGTATTTCTTTTTGTCTAATTTTTCATGTATTCTTAAATTCATGCAATTACAGTCAATGTTTTGAGTTTCTTTTATCTTCACAAAACAGGAAGCACTCTTGATATCACTCCAATATTTCCAAGAACCAATAACTCGAGCAATGCAAAGAGATGTGAGCTGAAGATAACTCGGGCTCTCAAATGCATTGACGCATCAGATTGGTTTTTTCATGTCACATTGTTGGCAATGAATCGGAGAATATATCGTTTGAAAGCTGACAAGGTATTCCTTGGATTTTGATACTAATTGCTGCATGCATGCGCATGCTCTGAAATTTATGGCAGCACGTCTGTCTCTGTGTGCATCTCTTCTCCTCTTAGGCCCTTATTTCGGATACCGGACTTTTGTAGTAACGTGAAGTTCAATTTTCAAGGTTTATTTTTACTTTGAAAGTTGGTTGATCAAATTTAAGATTCCGAATAGTTGGGATTGGACTAAGCGATAAAATAGGTTCTCTTCCCATTGTTTTTATTATAAATGGAGGAGATTACAACAAAGCACGCAGAGAGAGACAAAGACTCGCTTGTCACAAGCAAGCTACATTTTTCTCATAAAGCAACAAAGAGCCTAAATTGAGACACTGTTAGGGATACCCATCCCAGAGAGTTCATGACAAGTGTTGTTTTACTCGTCAAAATAAAATAGAACATTTTCTCAAATAAAAGAAATAAAAATAAAATAAAACTTATTCTCAAATAAAAGAAATAAATATAAATATGGTATAGTCAAAGAACGAACTGAATACATAGCTAATTATTATAAGTTCTCCTCCGATTATTATAAGATTCCGAGTAATTGGGATTGGACTAAGCAATAAAATAACTTGTCTTCCCATTATTTTTATTATAGAGGGAGGAGATTGCATCAAAGCAAGAGGAGAGGTAAAGACTTACTTGTCGCACAAGCAACCTACATTTTCTCATAAAGCAACTAAGAACCTAGATTGAGATACTGTTAGGGATACCTATCCCAGTGAGTCCCTCTCCACTTTTACCGGAGGTGTTAGGGTCTAGAAACGTGTATGGCAACTAGGATATTGCTTTGTTGAATTCCTCGATTATTAAAAAGTAAAAAATAGTCACCTAATTATTTATATGTTCCAAATTCACCATTTTCATTAAAATTTTGACCATAGTCTGAGTTGGACGTTAACCTCCTAACTAGGATATGATAAAATTTGATATCAAAATCTTAAACGACTATCATATCTTAGTCAATGGGTTACGTCTAGCTCATATTGCTATATCTTTTAGTGGAAAAGAACGAGTTTAGAACATATGAATAGTCAGATTGGTATTTTGTAACTTTAATAGTCGAGTGATTCAGCAAAGCAACGCCCTATACTCATAGGAACATTTTATAACTTTTAATAATCGAGGGACTCAACAAAGTAGAGCTCTATAGTTGGGGGATCATCTTATACTTTTTGATACCTTGGGACTCAACAAAGTAGTGCTTGAGGGACTATTTTTGTATTTAACCGTAATAATTTATACCCTATTTAAAATGCAAACTACAAATTTTAAACAAAAAAAAAGCAGGTAAATTATTTATGCTATTTTTTATTTTATATACTATCATACTCAAATAAGTTGACCCTAATTAAGACATGGTTTTATTCAGTTGGTGTGTAGGTGTTGACATTTCGCAGCTGCAAATCAGATTCTAACAACGCATGTACGTACATGTATATATTATAAAATTAATGTACTAAAAAGAAAACTGATAATAAAGTATTAATAAATTTAAATATTATAATCAAATTGGACCGAACAGCATACATCGCTAATTATTATAAATTCTCTTCAGATTATTATGAGATTAAGCAATAAAATAACTTCTCTTCCCATTATTTTTATTATGGGGACTAGAGGGAGGAGATTACATCAAAGCAAGAAGAAAGGCAAAGACTCGCTTGTCGCACAAACAACCTACATTTTCTCATAAAGCAACAAATAACCTAGATTGAGACACTGTTAGGGATACCTATCCCGGTGAGTCCCTCTCCACTTTTACCGGAGGTGTTAGGGTCTAGAAACGTGTATGGCAACTTCACCGGTCCGTTTCGGTTCTTCAAGTTGGGGTCATTGTTTCTGGTCTCGATTTTCTTTTCGATATCGAGTAGATTCTCCCTAAATCTTTTAAATGCAGCTAATGCTTTTTCATCCGAAGTCCACTCGTCCGACTCCCTCTGCCCGAGGTATATCTCATCGGCTGAATGCCGAGAGAGTATCTCGATGAGGGACACGCCGATCATCGTTTGGTCCTGTGGGGTGATCGTTTTAAGTAAGGCCAGGTCAGGGTTTTTCTCGAGCTCGGCGTATTCTTTGCTGCCCGCTTCTGGCATGAACCGACGGCTGACTGTCGGCCTGTTAGGGAGGAAACCGGCATACGGGTATTGGCCGAAGTTGACTGCTGCATGGAGTGCTGAAGCGATCCATATTAGGGTCGTGCATGATTGAACCAGATCGTGTATTGTGCTCATCTTGGGCCACCACGGTTGCTCTTTCAAGTCGCCGTGGCCTTCGTCTCGGATCTCGCCCCACCATGATTGGAGTTCTTCGTCCTTTTCCACTGCTTGATCTGATGTGTAGTAGCAACAGCAGTACTCAGTGACCCATGTTTCAATGGCTGACCAGATTTCTAACCCATCAACTGCAAAAGGGTAATCCTTTACCACGAGGTTAATTCCATTGGGAGACCCTGGGTCCTTAACAGCCATTCCTCTGCAATGGATGATTCAAAAAAATGACATGATCGATTAAATATTCATTTCGGTAAATTTCCGAGGGTTAATTACACCAAACATCTCCGAGTTCGGGTCATGCATGGCTTACCTCTTAAGCAGATCAGCAGGGAGAGCCTGCTCAGTGAAATTCCAACCCTTGTAAATGGCAGACGACATTTCGAGAGCGAAATTTCTTGGATAAACAGTTAACTCAACTATCCCATTAGCATTAATGAGGAGCATACGAGCCAGTGCATTAATGTTCATCGTGTCACGGTAGTGAGGATGCAAAAGCTTATATATCGGGTGAATCGCACTCAATCGTCGATTAGTAGCGATCACAAATGGTTCAACAACTGCATGTGTGTTTAACCTGCAAAAGAACACGTTTAATCATTGTAAATGATTGGCAGTGTTTTCAGTCAGTTTGCTATTTATGGAGACATCGGCATTTCAGCAATCATACCAATGAGAAATGAGCTGATGATATCCTGAATCGTTCACCCCAACATAAGCTTTGGCCAACTGCCAGATCGAACCTTCAACACCGCGCTCTGCCGGGGTGAAGACCTTGCTGACCGCACCATGTTTGTCTCCTTGCGGATGCGGCAAGCTCAACTCGATGGCCAACGGCTTCAGCGTGCCGTCATCTTGCAAAAAGAAAAGGGTTCTAGTGGCGTAAATCCTTGAGCTAGTTGAATTGACCCTCCGCAGGTACGTCATCAATGCATCATGATGATCCAATATGAACAATCTGTTGTTATCTAGAGCCTGAATCGAATATGAACAAATAAAACGATTAGTAATCTGATATTTGCTACAATCTGACTGATAACATTAGCATGAGTAAATGATGTTTAATACTACCTCTTTCACACTTAATCCATTCAAATTATGCTTAATGTCATCCTCTCTAATGCTACTATGCTGGTTCCCATATACTTCAGGATCAAGCTTGCTGGTTGGGGGAAATTCCTACAAACATGATGAATTATTGTGAATTGTAAGACCAAGTGACCAAAAGAACACTAATGTGAGCTATATTTACCCGAAGCCGATTGATGATAACCGGGTTGAGACCGGCAAGAGTTTCTCGAGCAAACTCTGCATCCGTCCTCCAAGCATTCTTATCCTCTGCAACCAATAAAACACCAACATTAACATCGTGTTGAGACCGTCTCGCGCCGATGAAAACGGTAAAGTTTTATCATGTACCTTTGATCACAGCGGGCACCGGGAACTTCATTAATTTTTCACCATCATTACGAAGAAGTTCCTTGACAAGAGTCCAAGGGATTGCATCCCTTATTCCCTTTAGAGAGTCATTACTGGGTAGTTTTATATGACCTTCGTACATATCAAATACGTCTTGAATGGAATCGAAATGAAATATGTTGTGGTCGTCTATTACGGTGCCCATTGTCTGAGAGACAGCTTTCAGAAAATAAGCAAGGAAATCCCAGAATTTCACCGTGCTGAACCGTTCATCTCGTGGAACGTAAATGTTTAGCAGGATCATGTCTAGTCCACCCAATCTACTCTCCGTGTTCGGGTCTGTTAGTCACACATCTTCCATATTTAGTTTTCATGTAGAGATATTAAGCTTTAATTTAGGTAAAGTAATGAAATTCATAATGGAGGCTTCCAAGTTCCAACCTTTTCTGTTTGGTGCACGACCAGTTTTCCCTCTCCTCGGATACGGATACTGAGCCGTTCCACCGAGCACCGGACGTGCGAATTTCTTCCCCAGTTCCGGCATCCCCAAGTCATTGTAGAAAGCATAATCATATACTCTATCCCATTCTTTGAGCTCTCCTGTTCGTCCAATTCCTCTAAGATTTTCAAGTTCTTCCTTTCTGTAGTCGCGTAAGGCTTCAGGTGTTTCAGATGGAAGGTAACTCTAAAATCAAAATATAACCATAACATCTGTTAGTGAATCTACTTGTCCCATTTCTCACTATTAATTAGATTCGAACTCGAAACTTCAAAGTTACCTTGTTGGCGAAGAAGATACGATTATATTTGTATTTATCCGTGGGATAAACCCATGAATTGCAATCAAAATGTATCCAGGAATGGCCGGGATAATCGTACAAGGTGACGTTCTTGAGATAGAACTGACTGTGATGATTGTTTCTTATGATGAAAGCACCAGGAACACCCATGGATTCAACATCCCACTCGAATCTGACCGAAAACGCCGCCTCTTTTGCAGTTATCGGTGTCAACGTACCCACCCAATCCTCCAAATACGCCGGCATGGAGAGCTTCCCTCGCTTCCAATTAGCTGAGAACAAACAAACGATATTTCGAAATTCAAAGATCAAGTTGAAACTCAAATCCTGATTCAAATACATCTAACACAATTAACCCGCGAAAACCTAAAAGAAAGATACGAACCGAAGTCGACAACGTTAGCGCTGACGAGCTGCAGCGAAACACGGTGGTGAAGGAGCTCGCCGACTCGGTCGAGCAAAGAAGCCGCCGGATCAGTCATGTCCGTCAGATTCTTCTTCACCAAAACCACTTTCCCGGTGACCGTCTTCGCCATAGCTGCACTCGAATCCCCTGTGATTTGCTTCACGAAGCTATTAAAATTTAAACAAGATCTTAAGCAATGAATGTAATAGGAAGCACGAAGCCATTTGTAGGCGAAGATTAAAGTCAGCATTCATTGGAATTAGTTAAAATAATGTAGCCACGTGACATAATTTATTGGGTTTAGTTGAAAATTATTATCTACACATTAAGCCCTTTTATTTATGAACCTAACTTATTTACATCCTTCCAAAAGAGTTTAAAAACTTTAAAACCACGCATTACACAAGTGGGATAAAACATTACAATGATAAAATATAGGGTAAAATAAACAAAATGGCCCCCCGACAATAGGATGATGCTTTATTAAGTCATTCTACTATTAAAAAGTTACAAAATGGTCCTTTGACTATAGGATGTTGCTTTTTTAGTCCCTCGGCCATTAAAAGTTACAAAACGATCACTTGACTATTTCATATGTTCCAAACCCGTCCTTTTCCTTTACAAAAATTAACAGTAATCTAAGTTGGACGTTAACATGTTGATTATGATATGATAGTCATCTGAGATTTTTAGATCAGATTTTATCATATCTCAGTCAACATATTAACATCCAACTCAAATTGACATCAATCTTTTAACAAGAAAGGACAAAATCGGAACATATAAAATAGTCATGGGACCATTTGTATACTTTACCCCAAAATATACTATACTTTTTTAATCTGTTTGAAAAATTAAAAGATACTTCAATATAGTAATAATAGAACTATTATATGCATTGTCATTGGAGTTAAAAAAAATGAACAAATGAAGTTGAATGAATGATACAAGTAACAATATTGGTAAACTAATAGTACATTAAAATATTTTAAATATTTTCGATATGAGTAAGTTTAAGTGGTAAACAACTTAATATCGCTTAAGTGATGTTTTGCGTCAAAGTCCTTCTGTATGGACATCACCCACCAAAATCATGTGTGCGATGTGGGTCGGTCCGGATTAGTCAAGGCGAAGCCTTGGAACCGGTAGGGTAACCAAAAAAATATTTTAAATATTTCTTATAGAACTAAAAGTGACCATAATAAAGATAACTTAAAAGTTGAGGGATTATTGGTGTAATTTACACTAAAAATAAAAATAAAATAGTGACTAAAGTGAAAATGCCCTAAATGTTGAGAGATTACCCTATTTATTTGTTGAAAAAGAGGCGTTCGGATCTATCTTTTTACTAATAAAAAACGTTTTTACAGGAAGCAGCTTATTATCATTATTATTCAGTAACTATTGGCATGCCAACTATTTAAAATTAAGGGTAAACTATATCTTGGTCACTGAACTTTCAGGGTACTTGTATTTTGGTCACTCAACTTTTAAAACTTGTAATATAGCCACCTAACTTTTAGTTCATTTTGTAGTAAAGTCTCTTACGTTAACTCCCGTTAGTTTAATTTAGTGTGGCACATTACTGTTATTTTTAGTTTACTAAAATAATTCTTTTAACTCATTTCAGCTTGATAAAAAAATTCTCACCCAAAGTTGACTGGAAACCCTAAAAATAAAATTTATCTTTCTCTTATTCTCTCGTTCTTTTTATTTGATCAACAATCGAAGCTAGTAATGAAGACACCAACTGCAATCTCAACAATCAAAGCTACCTTACGTGATGTTATCAGTTATCGTTAATTTGCTGAGGAAGATGAGAGTTATGGAGAGGGGGAGAAGGTTTGAGCGAGTGATTTGGGTTGTCTGTTTGGGGATTTTGTTGTATCTAGTTATGTTGGGTTAAGAAATAGATGATTTAGGATTTAGAGATTATGCTTTTTTGCTTGTGTTTGCTGCTTCAAGTTCATTTTGGTAAGCTAAGAACATGAATTTGGAATTTGAAATTCAACACGTAAATTGAAGTGTAAAACATTAATCAATTCAGAATAATTTTATAAAATACTTCAAAAATAACAATTTATCATTCGCCACACTTGAACAAACCTTCAATCGAGTCCTTCTCCCCCTCATTTTCATCCACCAACGATCGGTAATCTAAAAAACAAAAAGTCTAAACCAGAAAACTCAAACTAAACCTAATTTATCCAAGTCATTTGATCGGTAAAATAGTTTTAAACCCTTTTAACTTTTCTCAAATTTTATACAACACTGTTTGGGAATATTTTTTTTAATTTTTATTAAGCTGAAAAATAACAGTAACATGCCACGTCAGATAAAACTAACGGGAGGTAACATCAGGGACCTTACTGAAAATAAACTAAAAATTCAATTATTGTATTGAAAGTTTTAAAAGTTTGGTCACCAAAATGCAACCCTAAAAGCTCAATGACCATTTATGTAGTTTATCCTAAAATTAATATACAATTTTAATGGCAATAATTTGTAAGATTTGAGGGGGGAAATCTGAGATAAATGCCATTGGGGTCCTCCCTATTTAAGGGATGCAACCTAGAAATTTTCAAAGATGGTAGGTAAATTATTTATGCTAATTAATATATTCTAAAAATGATATTAAAATGGGTTAACGCTAATTAAGACATAGTTTTGTCCAATTTGTCATTTTGCAGCCACAAATCAGATTCTACCAACACATCACATATACATAATATTCTATAGATATATATATTTGCATTGATGGGGAATCATGTGTTAGAATAATGATAAACAAGTGTTTTTTATGTACTTAAAATGTCACACATTAATTAATTAAATCTCGATTTATGTCAAGATTAAGATTTAAGTTTTATTTTGTATTAATTATTATAGATTTTCATCGAGCATAAATTTATTAATCTATCATTTACTGTTTGTTTGAAATTATCGTTTTTATCTTATTTTTTAGGCTTAAGGATCACTTTTATTCTTGTAGTAGACTTAATTTATCATTTTCGTCCTATCGTATTTTTCGCATTAATTTAGTTGACCATATTCCCATATGTAATGAGGTAAGGGGGAGGAAGGATAGTAGGCTGCCTCCAACGCCATGTTGAGAGCAGCTTCCGTAAGAGACCTCCGGCAGTCAGAATTATGAATTTCCTACCGTAGGACTCGATCCCACGGCCACAAGGTTAAGAGCCTTGCGCTCTTACCAACTGAGTTGGACGGGCAATTCATTTTCGCATTAATTTAACACTCGAAATTGCTCAATTGTAACATTCTATAATCTACCCCTAATTTAAAACCTTAAACTATAAACCTTAAGTTAAGGTTTAGGGTATAGAGTTTATTGTTCAAAGATTGTGGGTTATAATTTAGGGTTTAGGGTTTATAATATAAGGTTTTAAGTTAGGGGTAAGTTATAAAATGATGCAATTGAACAACTTCGAGGATTAGATTGGTGCGAAAGTGATAAATTGAGTATACTACTGGGGTAAAAGTTACCCTTTTTCTTTTTTTAAAGAAAAATTTACTTGTATGACGTTAATTTTATAGTCAAAACGAGTTTTTTTTATAACTAAAAGTCTTTTTAGACAGTATTACTAAAATTAGCTGACCCTTATTCCCATATGTAATGGGATAAGGGGGAGGTAGGATAGTAAGCTGCCCCCAACGCCAGGTTGAGAGCAGCTTCCGTAGGAGACCTCCGAATTATGAAATGCCCTCCGTAGGACCTCGATGCCACGACTCCAAAGTTAAGAGCCTTGTGCTCTACCAACTGAGCTGGATGGTCATTTCTTAGACAGTATTACTAAACGGGAGGTAAATCGATCTTATAATATTGAATTAGATTTAAACTTATTATATTCGAATACTTTAATCATCCTTAGTTCTACATGTCTCGCATTTGCATATATTATTATACTGTCTTGATTCTCATTGCACGTGACCTCAGTTACTGAAAATGCCTTGTAATATACGATTTTGACCAATTTTTTTTGGATTTGCCAAAATGACCAAGTAAATCGCAATGCGATCGATAATTCGCAACGCGATCTCCGGTATCGCAAATAAGTTTCCAGATTCGCAACGCGATAGTCGAAGTTCGCATTGCGATTCATTCCAAATCGTTGCGATAGTCGAAGTTCGCGTTGCGATTTATTCCAAATCGTTGCGATAGGCGAAGTTCGCTTTGCGATTCATTCCAATTCGTTGCGATAGGCGAAGTTCGCGTTGCGATTCATTCCAATTCGTTGCGATAGGCGAAGTTCGTGTTGCGATTCATTCCAAATTCGTTGCGATGGGCAAAGTTCGCGTTGCGATTCATTCCAAACTAGCTGATAATGACACAAAGGAAACATATCGAGTTGTTTGGTCATCATCTACTCTTTGCAAGTAAGTCATTTGAACACTATAAGAACCCGAATCAGAGTTAGTTTTAGCAATTACTTCATTTATGATCAAAGTCCTCAAAGGGTAAGTTATTTATTCGAATAAATATTTTTTTAGTTTCAAAATTAAACTCTTACAGACAATGAAGGTAATGGTATTGGAAACAAGTGTTGGTAATGCTCAATCCCACATAATATTGGAAACACTATTGAGAATGATATTTAAGGCTTGGCTTTCCCACTTTCTTGTTGAGTGATAGAGAACAAGGGGGACTCTCGCGCGCCGCCACCACCGTCCCGTCTCGGGTCGGGTCGGGTCGTGGTCGTGGTAATACGTGTCTTCGACACGTCCGCGCGAATTCTATCTTTTTAGAGAAAATTCTTAAGAAACAAATGTAATATTTGGACTATCGCAACGCGAACTTCGCCTGTCGCAATGAATTGGAATGAATCGCAACGCGAACTTCGCCCTTCGACTATCGCGTTGCGAATCTGGAAACTGATTTGCGATATCGGATATCGCGTTGCGAATTATCGATCGCATTGCGATTTACTTGGTCATTTTGCCAAATCCAAAAAAAGTTGATCAAAATCGTATATTACAAGGCATTTTCAGTAACTGAGGTTATTTTCTCTTTTTTTAATATTATATGTACATATAGGACATTAACATTTTTAATATAATATGTTTAGCACGTGATTTATGTGCTTTGTTTCGGTTCAATAATGACGTGCCCCGGCATGCGAAATTACTGGAATTTTAATGATTAAAGTTATACCATCTTTTTAGATTCAATTATATCATTTTGCCTTTAAATTTTAACGACATAATGACGTGGATAAAATATTATCTTTGATA